TTTATCATCAATAGATGATAAGGAAAAATAAGTGAAAAGAAGACTCTGTCAGGTTTAACTGAAAAAATTATGCAAATTACGCGATGGCATCATCTAGCGACTTCTACAGTGGGACAGCCACTAGTGACTTTCCTTACGAAGGAGCATCACTGATAGCAAGAGTCAGTTTGGCAGGCTTACCTTTCTAAAGTCTGTCATCACTGTTAAAGATGTCGGACACCTAGGTCTACCTGGCCAATTCCAACCTCATTGGTTCTCAATTGCAGGATCGCAACTAAGCATGAAATTATGGAGCCGAAATGCTAAAAGACCACAGCATAAACCTAGCTCCTGACTTGGAGCTCCCTCAGATATAGGCCCTATCCTCTGGCATTATCTTTGACACCCTAGACCAGTCTGAGCCCCGCTCAAACCCCTATAGTTTTCCTGGCCGAAAACGTACCAGGAAATCAGACCACTGTGATCCCCCTGCACACCATCTGATGATCACATTAATTCCTCGTATCAATCTAAAAATACAGTTGCTTCCACTCCTCAGGCTCTAGTAAACTCCATCCAACTCATAAACAACCAACTGCAATTCCTGGAGAATGCCATAGCTCCCACTTCAGCAACACAAGTCTCTCAACTCCTGCTAAACCAGACTCAAGCCTCAACTCTGGCACTGCATGCATCCACCTCCTTCTCAGACGTACCTTCCATGCCCTAGCACACCCTGGCCTCAGCTCTCACTGCTCCTCTGATAGGTAGGCCTTACACCACTTTCTGCGCAAACATTTTCCCTCATTTAAAATCACAAATATTTTTGGGCAAAGACACCAATCTCATAAGCTAAATACTGCCATCTCCAGAGCGCCGTAATTGTGTGTCCACCAGGAAAAAATTTTATCACCACCTCTAAGTCTGCAGCCTCTAGACTATTGAGAGACATGTCTATCAGAGAGTTTGTAGTGGCTTTCAGCATCTACAGAGATATATTGTGCTCTGTTTACCCAGAACACAGACGAGCATTGGACACCTATTTGTCACTGATAGCCGACCTTAATCAAAGATATGGAGGTAAAATCTTTTATCAATATTATCAATACTTCTCAAGCAAGAGAGCTCTTCATATCACTCAATCAAACATCTGTCTGAACTGGTCAAGACACAGAATTGACCACGGAATTGACCCAATATCATGTTGGTCATTATAACAGGAGGCTCCCAAGCTATGTCATGCCCTACCTATGGCAATTCAAGCCATTCAGCCCTCTTCTGCCCACTAGTGCCTTTCCTACCTTACAAGTTAGAAACTACAACTACAACCTCTGTGGAACCTCCACCCCGCATAAAGGGGAAGAAGAGAAACCCGTGGCTGCAAGGTTTTCCAATTTAATAACAAATCCTATACGCAATAATTTTAATGAAAATGTGTGCTTTTTTCTGAACTGCCTTCTCATCCTGATTCTGTATTTGTCAATAATTTACTGTGTGATCTCTCCCAGGGGTTTCAAGTAGGGGTCGTGTCATTTCTGGCCTTTTCTTACCACCTCAAATTCCTTTTAACCACTAAAAAATGAAATCGATAAAGACTATTTAATTGGTCCTTATGATTCTTTGCTGTTCCCTGTATTTCACTCAAGTCCCTTAGATGTAGCAACACATAAATACACGGGGGAGAAAATCTTTCTGCTCCTCACAATGGGCCTATCCAAAGTAGGGGTGAAACGATTCCTCAAATAATTCAAGTACCTCGATTACAAAAAATTATTGAGGAATTTTAATTTTTACAGCACAAAGCATGGTGTTACGCTCAGACTACTTTTAATGTTGCACACTGTGCTAATGTCATGCATGTAAAGGAAGGGGTAATGGACGTGTTTGATTTTAGCAACGGAAAGATGGAGGAAAGCTGTGACGATGAGGAAAGTGAAGATAAAGGCACTAAGTAAAGACAAATAATGTCACAAGTGTGGGAGCATTTTAAGCTGGAAATCAAGGCAAACACAATCACATGTATTCACTGTAAGACAGTCCTTGCACACCACAACGGTACGTCTTCAATGCTGCATAATCCTCACTGAAGACACCTGTTTCACTCCGAGAGCAGAGGACCCAAGGCAAGGTAAAATTAAGTAAACGCAGGGTGACCAGATGTCCTATTTACCCTGTGAAACCATAAAATGTGTCAAGGTGGAATTTCTAAATTGTCCTGGATTTTGTCATCCCAGATTAAGTCTATAATTTCATTCATTACTGAATTGCACTGAAGCCCCCTCCGCAAATTCACATCACAACAGGCACTCACCTTTTAGTGATGGGCACAGCAGTTCTTTTAGAAGTACTGAAACACTAGTATCAGTTCACTGAAAAGATTTATTCAAAAGATCCGCTCACTAAATCACAGAATCATTCAGCTCTTGGCGGGAGGAGCCTGTGACTTCAACTTCCTGAACAGATACTCAGCTGAGCAATTCAGGTTTCAGTTCAGTTCAGGGCTTCTGGGACCGGGAGACAAGAGTGTTGTGGCTGTGTTACTTTAACAAACACGTCTGTAAAAATGAACTTAATTGTAAGTCATGATGTTTTAAGTGTACTGTCCCACGGTATGCATTTTATCTGGTCTACTCAGTAAAATGGGTTCAGTGAGTGATTCTTTCACTGAACGGTTAAGCCCTAGTACATTCAGTGAAGGATTCACACTGAACATTAACCGTTCCCTCCCAAATCGCAGCGGATCAAACAGTCACAAATTTTCTCAAACGGCGGGTATTATACATTACTTTTTACACACTGAGTCCTACTCTAGGCAAGTTGTTGTGGCTGCAATTAATCACAGTTAAAAAAAAAAAAAAGTTTGTTTTATCCAAGGTACACTTGAATACAACACACCCCTTTCTCCCTGCGTCGCTCCTGTCTAGAACTTACTACAACTGGTCAATCTCACTCTCTTCTGCCAGCCTAACATTCAAAGTTTGTTTAATTGGGAACTAAATCTGTTCAAACAATGGGGAACAACGGTCTCCATGAAAGTGTATCCCTAAGATGAAAATGATACGGGAGAGTATAGTTCACTGCGTGATTCATTCACCAAGTGATTCAGGTGTCGGCATATGTGGTCCTTCGCTCGCCAGCTAGTCGCCCTGCAATGCTGCGTGCTATAGCAGCTGCGCTACTGACAGCTCAACTGATCTGAGAGTCAAACAAATCACTTGAGGAAGTAATTCAGTTCAGAATGTTCACTTAAAAGATTTGTTCTCTTGAACGAATCATTTGCGAACGACCAAAAGACTATCACCTTTGCATCGCAACTTGCTTTTGAGAAACTAGGTATCAACTGTTATAACTCAACCCCACTGTGCAGGTGTCCTCCCACATGATAGTACAGACCCACTCCTGACTGGAACATGGCAGGGCAGCATTGACAGGGCTTGAGCTAAACCCCTGGTGTGAGGAGAACATCAGAGCTTGTGGACATGCAAGAGGGCTCATCTTTCACTGTGGTATATACATTCCCCTTTGATGATGTATGTCTGTATGTCGCTTCAGTCTTCATCTCCATGGTCTTGTACACAGAGGCTTTGGTCGTTGGCTGTAAACCTCTGCCTCTTTTGAAGTAACTCAGAGCACATGGGCTCTATTCATTCTCACCCTTTTCCAAGAATCTGCCTGTTCCGCTGGCACCATCACAGAAGTTACTGCTACTCTTACAGTTTTCCTCTAACTCCCAATCTGCAGAATCTTTTCCTGCCTCTGGCTAAGCCTTAGCGATAAATCACCATTCACTCTGTCAATAGTTTTATGCAAGGGTGTCAACATTTTTCTTCTTAATGGAGAACTTTTGCTTTGCTTTCTCTTGCAAACTCCCGCTTGAGCAGTCAGTCTTGCTATCCAGACAGAGCATCTGGTCTAATTTAAGATGCTTTGCTGAGAGTGAAAAATCAACATTTGCAGGACAATTCACCTGCGTTCTGCTGCCAAAAGCCTTACAGTTATTGTTTTCAGCATCGCCTTCCATACAGGTAATATCAGATGCTGCATGAAATTTTTCTGCAGATCATAGGAATAATTTCCCATCCATGTCAACCCTCCACAAAGATGGTGAAAGCACTCTCCTGCTGGAGGACTTAAATTTAGAGGGTGTGACTGACTGTCTCTCTTTTGAGCGGCACAATCAGCTAAAAAGGCAGTTATGATTTTGCTATGTTCAGACTTTGCACTTTTCCTTTTGGCAACATTTTCAGGCTCAAACAGTCTATCAGATAGTAGTTTGTTTTCCAAGAGTCCCTGAACCTGAACATGCCTCTCTTCTTCTTCATCATTAGCGTTAGCCGTTTCCTCTAATCTTGGCTGGTATGTGTTGAGGTGTGTGAACTTTAAATGGGCTTCAAGTGCTTGCTGTGTCAGTGTAATGTAGCCACACTCTTCTTAGAGGTAGCAGTGCTTAAGATTATCATGTGCTTTGACATGCTGGACTAAGATTTGAGATTTTTTTAGGGCAATTACAGCCAAACACACACTGAGGGTGAAACATTGTGCTGCCCCTGTTTTTGAGACCTTTGATTTCCTCCATAAGTTTCTCTAGCCTGTCTTGGTGAATAATGATGTGCCTTGTGAGAGAGATGCTATCACAGAACAAACGCCTACACTCTTTGCATATTAAGGGCTGTGAAAGCTCCTCACTGTTCACCTGATTATTCCTGCCTAAATGATACATCATATGTCTATGGAAATGTCTTTTTTCCCTGTAATTAACATTACATCCTCTGCATGAAAAGAAAAGTGGATCTTTTTCGGCTTGTTCTGTCTTGAACTGCATTACTTTGGGACTAAAACTGTCTGCATCTTCAGGGTCATTTTCCTCATTACAGCCTTCCTGTGCTGTGCTATAAATAAGGTGCTCAGAGTCTGAAGCTGTGTTCCTGGAAAGATCTTTCAGGGGAACAATGGAATATTTAATATCAAACTGTGTACCCAAAGAATCATCTTTGTTTGCAAAGTCAACATTTTCAACATCATTACTGCTGCAGACACAGATGCGTCGGTGTGTGATTTAAGCTGTTGTTAACCTTTTCCATTGAGCCTGACATGCTTTTTACGTGTGTTTTGTGCTTCCAGTCTCTTCGGTGCATCACTTTGGTCTCCAGCCTTCTGTCGATGTGCAAGAATGGCTCCCTCGCTGAATCCCATCTGATTACTTCAGCATCATCATAATCATCCGAGGAGCTCTCTGACCACTCTGCGTCCCGTTGAGATCTTGTTTTCATTGTCTGTTTTGTCAAAGGTTGGCTAATGTGCATTTGCTCCACACCGTCACCTGACAGAGTGGAATAGGCCAGTTTAGACTCATTCTCCTCCGAGTGAGACAGTGGCGTGTTGACACCTGGCTGTGTGGCTGGTGTTTTTACGACGGGCCCCGCTGTGTTCTTCCAAGCGTCTGATTGAAGCTCACTAGGTGGTGGTAACACCTCAGGGCTCGTGTCCTTCTCCGCTTGCCACACGGCATCCAGGACATTGTTGGATAAAACAGTGCCTTTGTTCAGGACACAGTGTACCTCTGAGGTGGGGTGTGAACCAGGTCCATTAACAAGTGCTCCTGAAGGCAATGAATTGCCTGCATGGGGAACAGCAGGGACACTGCTGTATACAAATGGATTCGGCTGGGTTCCATTTAAAGGGTTTTCGTGTTCATCTGAGGACAGACCTGCAGCATTGTTCTTTAGGGAGAATGTGTGACTCTGTAATGGCTCCTGAGTACGACCTGGGCTGACAGACACAGATTCCAGTCTTTGTCCTTTTGTGCAGCTGGCTTCAGATCAGAGATAGTAGCAGTGCTTTTTGCAATATAAGAGAATATTGCATCTTAAGTTGAGCCCTATATTTCATGCAAACCTGGTTGAGCAAGCAATATCTCCCAGTGCATTACACATAATTACCCCAACAAAAATAGAACTTGCCACATAAAAAAAAAAAAAAATGCAGATGTAAATTACAAAACAAACATTGTCTTATAATAGGTGTGATAAAATCTGATAATTCGGTAGTGTAAAAAATTTTTTGACTTACTGCCACAAAACGAGAGCGGTATTATTCTGTGCCGCATTATGATTTCCCAACACCCTCTTTCGCCACCTCTATTCACAACAAACCCTGCTGTTAGCCCTGAATACCCTGGTGAGGATGCTTAATTATGTGAGCGTACCTGTGGGATACAACCTTCCTTCCTCTCCACCTTAAGTTCTCACTCGTCTGCTAAAATTGACCAATTTCCATGGGAACAAAGTACACCTCCAATGAGATCATATTGCGTCTTATCACTCTGTGATGGTGCAAACACAGATCCCAGCATGAGACTGTTGTTACTTGAATCCTGACAAATTGACAGGCGCACAATCTGTCTGTAACGCAAACACAGACCGACCCACAAAATGAAAACATATGCCTCTCTGCAAACACTCGGATAGATAAAGTAATCTCTAATGAATTGTTGGAATCAAGCCTGAGGAAATTTGACTCTTTTCTATAGCTTTTAGTTTTTACATCTGATCATAATCAGCTTTACATCAAATCTGTGTATGCCTCTTCTTACACCAGATTATACTCTCCAAAAGAGTTTAAAATGTATGCTCAGTGGATTTGACATCCAAGGCTGGTCGTTTTCTACAGGAAGCTGGGTTGCTAACGAAGTGGTAAATTCAGTGTTAATGAGTGGCTTCACTGTTACCACCTCAGAGGTAAAACCTTCCGAGCTCCATATTCTCCCCATCTGTTGTGGTGTTAGAGGTTCGAAAGGGGAACAGACGCTCTACATTTAAAGCCAACTTCACTGTTACCCCCGAACGGCAGGGTGGCAAAACCATCAAAATATCTTTGTTCAAAGACATGAGGCTCATTAGCAACCAGAGAACACAACCTGCTTCTATATATCTACATCTCTTTATCTATCAATATATTCACATATCTATCTTTATCTGAGCAAAAGGGTTAGAGTAGAAAAATCTACTTGCTTCTATTTTTATAAATTCATTTAGTCAGTGTTAAAAGACTGACTTTGCCTTGCCCAAAGATGTTTACAGGGATTATGAGCTTAAATACAGTTAATCTGTATGAACAGATCAATCTGCTATGAGCTCTCACTAACCCTTCCCACTGTTTTCCTCAAGACACTAGCCTTGCTTTTCACTCTGGTAAATGAGATTTAATGGAAGCATCATCTATACCCTATATTTTTGTGCAATACAGTTTATGATAAGGAGCACCTACAGCACCACATATTAAGTCATAGATCCACTCTTCAAGCTGCTGCGGATGATGAGTTGGTGTGTATAACAGAGATGTGAGTTTGTGAACGAGTCAGTCATTTGAATGGCTCTTTCAAGTGAACGATGAGAACAGGATGACATTTGCGAGCCGTTCTTATATGCAGATTTTCCATGTTGCTTTCACATGTCAACTGTGTTCCCCAAATACCAGCTAAGGTGGTGCAATATTGCATTCACAAGTCAATTCATCATGTCCTAATTTCTATTATAGTATTTTAGTGAGTTTTATTACATGTACTTTATACTGTATATATTTGTGTTCTCATTTATACTTTCATATTTTTCCCTGTATAGTTGAAATGTTCCTGCGTGCAAAGTTTTACAGTAAAGTTGTTTTGCATGGAAGTTAGCTGCAGGCTGTGTAGTTTTTATTGTCACAAATTTCTTTAGGTGAAGGAAAAATTCAAAATAGTGATCTCACTGTCAAAGCACGAGGATATGGCACCACTGCATGACATGTTTACAATGAAAATACAAGCCAAATGCCTTTATAATCAACATTTCAGAAAATTCCCACTAATAGAGTATATATTGGTGGTATGTATAAGTGTGGATTATTCTGATCCGTATTTTATAACTGCTACTAGTGATTGTTTCTATGATTAAAAAAATGTTACCCCTGGTGGACTTCTAAAAATTAAAAAAAATACAACAATGAGACAGTCATTTGAACGGCTCTTCTTTGAAAGGAACAGCTTCTCCCTTCAAAGAACCCTAAATCACATATCTAATTTATAAAGAGGACTTAAGTATTCAGAGAGCCATTGATCATATACATTATGTAAAAGAGTTCAAAAAAACATTTTAAATCCTTGTATAATGTAGTTTACAGATGGATGTTGTGTTCAACGCCTATTCAAAAAAATAAATATTAACTTTTAAAATACAAGATTTAATGTTGAGGTTATCGTTTGGATTGTGTCGGGTTGTAAATCTTTGATAAACAAACTACATTAAACAAAAATTTTAATTTGTAGCAACAGCAGAGGTGAAGTAATTCAGTGAGTTCAAATGATCTCTTGCAGCATGCTCTGGAGGTTGGTGGGCTCGGAAGCATGCCATGTACTCACATCAGTATGTCTCTGAGTTTGCTTCAAAACCTCAGCTCATGTCAGGCTCTGTTCTCTTTTATCTCTCTCTATCATACAGCTTTCCTTTATGTGATTTCTTTTCTCAAATTCCTTGTTTCATTACACCAGAGTAGGAAGGTTTGTTAGCGGTAGGTTATGTAAAACCCTGTTTCCCTATAGTATCCAGCAAAATGAACACTGTTGAGTGTAATGTTTATATTCACCCCTGCATTGAAAAGTGAGGGATTCTTTGTAAAAATTCATTTAAATATAACTATACTGAAAAAACAAACAAACAAACAAAAAACTGCCATCATGGCACATGCACATGTCAACGAGTGCCATAACCAAGTGAGTTAGCATTTCCCATAGCTTGTTTTTGTTTTTCACATAAAAATGACTGTTCAAGCTGTTTAATTGAAAACTCCTATTGTCATTTACCTCAAACTCTGTTTACGGGTAGAAGGTGTTCCAAACATTTTAAAACTTATTGAGAAGAACTTATGTTGCCATGGGAACAATGCAGAAGGATTAATAGTAGCTGAACGTGGTGTGTATCATTGTTACCGTCATTAATTGAGTATAGTTACTCTACTTGAGTATGTGTTTTCTCAGCTGAAGTTCCCCAACTCAGTTACAGTTAGCTTACAGGTAGATGCACCATGACAGCCATGTATGGAAGTATTTTGATAAAAAGGTCAACAGTAATGTGCTGTGTAAGACATGCATTGATAAACATATATATCATAGAAACATAAAGCATTGGAAGAAGACATTTGACAGCACTTGCTGGCCCTGTTAGCATAGACAGCTTTTAATGCAAAACACTACAATTGTAAAATACCAAAGTTTGGCCATGATGAAAACAACTGTAATATGGAGGAGAAAAAGTTTGGTGTTGAGGGCTTGTGGGGCTGTAAATGTCGAAACAAATTCCTTCCTGTTGTTTAACTGAAGACCAGGGAAACCAGTGCTAAAAAACCAACTGGGACCAGTCAGCCAAACCATTCCAACTGCTGGAGCTGTCTGAACGGATCAACAGCCAACCCTACGTTCTCTGCCATCCCTGTCTTACTGGAGAGATGTCTGAACAAGCTGAGCCATGGTCCCTCAAGTACCACATTACTCCAACTTCCTCAGCTAATGGGATCTATTGATTTCTTTGACACAATGCGAATTTATGAAGCAGCCTCTTAAAGTGTGAGAGTATAACAGTGTGGCTCAAAACAAACAAGAGATTCAGCTTGACACTCCTGTAATCCCAAGGTGAGCATTTTCACTCAGCAAAGGTTTCACAGCAGACAAAAAACTACTTTTACCACTTTTTCTCTGTTATCTTAACCCTGCAATCATACCCAAAGGATCAAATAAAAGATAAGACGGAAGAAATTAGCAATACAACAATGACACAAATCTTACTTTTCAATCAATCAATTTTTCAGTATATCAATTTTTATTTACATAACACCAAATCACAACAATCGTTATCCCAAGATGCTTTTGACAAGAGCACATTTAAAACAAACTCATTGTTTGATGTATTACAAAGACCCAATCTCTTTTTATACAGCTGACAACGGTTAAAAAAAAAAAAAAAAAAAAAAAAAAAAAAAGGGGGGGGGGGGAGGACTCAACCGCAGCAAATGTATAAAAAAAAAATCCCGAATTACTTAATTTTGCACAAGAGAAAATAAAGGCAGAAGCTTCATGTGACATCTTTGTCTGGATTACATACTCTTTTATCCCTCAGAAATCTTGTCACCCAAAGGTCATTTGCATAATAATGGTCTTGATTCTCCCGAATGAAATTTGGGCTGTGATTATGTATGCTGGCGTCTTGTGCAGACACTATCAGCCCTGTCATCCTGAACTGCACAAATGTAATTACACAAAGCCTTTGATAACTAAACAATGTAATTTACTGCTTGAGTGAAAATATGTACCAGAATTATATGAATGGAATTATATGGTAAAAGAAAACATATGTGTACTATAAATGTGTTGCATAGAAGATTGTGTTCTTTATAGTGAAAACAAATTAAATGCTAATGTATGCTGAAACAAGGGGAAAGTGTTCATTTGAGCAATTAAAGTAAGAAAAAAAACATGGACAAGCACTTTCTAAGGATATGAAAATATCCATTTACTGTACTTAAAGAAAGAAATTCACTTATAATTGCTTTCTCGCTAAGTCACAAAGAACTTTGTAAGAATTTAACTCTCATGGTGTCTGAAACAAAAGGCAGAATCAACAGAGATTTTGCATTTACGCTTGTGATGTGGGAATGACCTTGGCTTTGTCCAAAGGGAGAAAACGTATTCATGAAAAAGGCATCATCATATTAACATGTGTCAACAAATGACAGCACACATG